ACCTTGTTTATACTGATAATTGCGTATATGTTGCAAATTGTGGGCTTCACTGTTGATATCCCTTATGATGGTTCGAGAAGGTGATTGGGTATGATTTTTCATGATTGTTGTATTTGGATGCACAAGTGGGAAAATATATATCCTATGGTGATATTATGATGTTTAAGGAGGATGACTTGCACGAGGGTTTATCCCGAGGAAGTGCAATTATACTACTCCTGTTTTACCTATGTTGAGCCAATTATGACCAGGTCAAGTACATATTCAAGTAATGAATTATGATTAAGCAAGATGAGATATGAATCATGTATAAGGATACCAAGTATGAGTATTTTGGTCTCATGGTCAATTACATAGTATTCTGTGCTTGGACTACTACTCGAGATTTTGGCCAGTGATCCACACCTTTTTGTAAAAATGTTTTGAGAACATTTTCATGTGCATACTAGCTTCTGATGTAGTGTGAGATATCCACGAATGTGGAAAGTTTATTATATGTGTATATGTGTGTGGTGGTGTATGTAGTGACGATTATGACATGTATAAGTATGGTATGTAGTTGTAGAGTACGAAAGTGTGACTATGGCTATGCAAGCCAATGTATATGGTTGAGAGTATATATGTATGTCTACAAATGTAGGGATTCAGATGAATTATTTTGCAGGTCTAGTTGCAAGAACTGTTAGCCCGTTACGCGAGTAATTCATGTCGAAATTTTATTGGTCGATTTTTGGTAATTAATGTAATACCAGTTTTAAATTCCGCTGCAATTGTGTGAACAATATGATCAGGCAAAACGTATAGGGTAGGGTGTTACAGTTTGGAATCAGAGCCCGGTTCCCTCTTTTTGTTGTTATGACGTACTATGCCCAATGGGAAGTTAAATACTTCTAAGGAGGGGAGTACCTCATAATGACTTAAACTAGGAATTGAGTTTTACATGATTATGTGTATTGTATGTTAGATGGTATTAGTTACATCATAGTTTTCAAAATTGAGTTTTGAACTTATTTTCCAAATAATTATTGTGAAAATTTTGTTTAAACCAAGTGATAGATTTGGTTAAGAATGGATTTCGTGTGGATCAATCAAAGGCCAATATTTCCTCGTAGCTCGCACGGAAGTTGTGAAAATGTTTCTACTGACTAGTCGAGAGGAGTGGAGGCGGGTGATGCAAGGCCGCTAGTATTAGACTTTGCAAAGATGAAGAGTTTGGGTGGTAGGGCCTTCAAGGGAGATGTGAGTCCAGATGCTGTAGTAGAGTGGTTGAGAGAGATGGAAGATGTGTTTGAGTATCTTTATGCGACCCCAGAGGAAAAAGTACAATATGTTATTTTTCTCCTAAAAGGGTACGCGAGTAGCTAGTGGTCCTCAGTCTCAAGAGTTAATGGCCAACGAGTTCAATTCACCTGGGAGGAGTTCCTGAAGGCCTTTAAGACAGAGTTTCTTCCCGAAGTTTTTATCACGGCAAAGAATAATGAATTCGCCAACCTTAAGCATGAGAACATGACAGTTACTGAGTACACCATCAAGTTTATTCGACTACTCTACTTTGAAGATGGGTTGGCAGATACTGAGCATAAGAAGAAGATGAGATACTTGCATGGTATGCGCCTAGGGTTGAAAGAAAAGATCCACAGGGTTGATGAAGAGAGCATGGCCACAATCAAGGAGGCAGCACTTAAGTATGAAGCCTATGAAGCTAAGGGTAGAGAGGAACACAAGGCCAAAGAAGAGGAGAAGAAGAGAAAGTTTGGAGTGAGTTATGATGGACCTTGTTACCCACTCAGGAGAGGTCCCATCTATTTTGGGTGAATACCGAGTCAATCTATGTCGGGAACATCATACAAGGCACCAGTTTCCTCGGGCACACAGGCTCCAGTTTGTCAAGTTTGTCAAAAGAATAAAGATTGCTCCATGAGAATGTGTATTGACTACCAGAGGTTGAATAAAGCGATGGTGAAGAATCGTTATCCCCTCCCAAGAATAGATGACTTGTTTGATCAATTGCAGGGCGCATCAGTCTTTTCTAAGATTGATTTGAGGTCTGGATACCATCAACTGAAAGTGGTAGATGGAGCAACCTCAAAGATAGCTTTTAGAACAAGATATGGGCATTATGAGTTCATGGTAATGGCTTTTGGACTCACTAATGCACCAGCCGTATTTATGGCTCTTATGAACAGAGTTTTCCATGAATATCTTGATAAGTTTGTGATTGTGTTCATAGATGATATTCTCATATATTCTAAAAGCGAAGAGGAGCACAAAAATCACCTTAGAATTGTGTTGCAAATTCTAAGGGAGAAATAATTATATGCAAAATTCTCAAAATGTGAGTTTTGGCTGAAGGAGGTAATATTTTTGGGACATGTAATTTATGGAAGAGGAGCGGAGGTGGATCCGAAAAAGGTGGAAGTAGTGGTAAGTTGGACTCCACCAAAAGATGTATCGGAGTTGAGAAGGTTTCTTGGTATGGCGGGTTACTATCGACAGTTTGTAGAAGGATTTTCCAAAATTGTTGCACCATTGACTAAACTGTTGAGGAAGAATATCAAGTATGTTTGGGATGAATCATGTCAAAAGAGTTTTGATGAACTGAAAAAGAAATTGACCACAACACCAGTACTTGCTTTACCTTCAAACCATGGGGAGTTTGTGGTGTACAGTGATGCCTCATATCAAGGACTGGGTTGTGTGTTAATGCAAGATGGAAGAGTTATCTCATATGCCTCTAGGCAATTGCGTCCTTATGAAGTAAATTATCCCAATTATGATTTGGAGTTGGCAGCGATGGTATTTGCTCTCAAGATTTAGCGACATTATTTGAAGAAAGTGAGAAACGAATAACACGAGACAATGATTTACATGGTTTCCCCGATGATCGGGACTAGACCACGGGAGAGCTTTGCTCTCCAGGCTAAACTCTTATTTGATTGACTTGGTTCTGGCTGATGGCCATGTACATTGTTTTATACCCTATGTCATCATCATCTAGGGTTACATTACAGGGGCAATCAAAAACCCCACACACGTGAGATGCCGCCCTAGGCTTACTGGGCACTCGACTAGAATGCGGTTGGGCCACATGAGATTGGGCCTTGTCCATTATTATTTGTATGGTGAGAATTTTAAAATGCTAACTGATCACAAAAGCCTGAAGTATATTATGGATCATAAGGATTTAAATAGTCGCCAGAGGAGATGGATTGAACTTATAAAAGATTATGATTGTACAATTGATTACCATCTTGGTAAAGCTAATGTAGTTGTTGATGCTCTGAATAGAAAAGGCAAGAAGAATATAACTGATCTGGTTGATTTGAGGGCAATGAATTTTGATTTGGAAGTAGATGGTGTAACAGGGTTACTAGCTCGGTTGAACATTCGACCTTTGTTGCACGAAAAAATTCGTGAGAAGCATAAGGAAGAACCAGAGTTGGCAAAAATCATTCAAGACATTGAGGAAGGAAAAGAAAGCTCATTTGAAATGGTAGATGGCATGTTAAAGGAATGGAAGAGCATGTGTTCCTAATGTTGACAACTTGAGGAAAGAGATCCTAGATGAAGCTCATTCTTCCTCTTAAGCTATGCACCCGGGAGCGACTAAAATGAATCACACAATCAAACCATATTTTTGGTGGCCTGAGATGAAAAAGGAAACGGCTGAACATGTTTTCACATGCCTGGTATGTCAGAAAGTTAAGGCAGAACATCAAGCTTTCGTGGGGAAAGTGCAACCACTTCCAATTCCATAATGGAAGTGGGAGAGAATCACAATGGATTTTGTATATGGTCTCCCATCATCAAGGGGAAAGATGCAGTATGGGTTATTGTGGACCGACTGACCAAAGCAGCTCACTTTTTACCCATTAGATGGAAACCATCACTGGAAACTTTGTCTCCACTATATATTAAGGAGATCATCAGATTGCATGGTGTGCCAATTTCTATTGTCTCTGATCGAGACCCGAGCTTCACATCTCGGTTTTGGAAAAATTTACATGATGCCTTGGGAACTAAACTGCGTTTTACTTCAGCTTATCATCCTCAAATAGATGGGCAGAGTGAACGAACTATCCTCACATTGGAGGAATTACTTCGATCATGTGTAATGTAATGGGAGGAATCGTGGATTGATCATTTGCCTCTAATTGAGTTTGCTTACAACAATCGGTACCATAGTAGTTTGGGTGTTCCACCTTATGAGGCACTTTATGGGAGAAAATTTAGAACACCATTATGTTGGGATGTAGAAGGAGCAAGGAAAATCTCAGGGCTAGAGATAGTTCAGGTCACAGTTGATAAGGTCAAGGAAATCAGGGAGCGTCTGAGGATGGCTCAAGATTAGGGGTGGGTATCGGTGCGGTTCGGACCGCATCGCACCGCATTGATGTAAACCGCACCGCACCTCATCTCAATCGAGCCGCACTGCATTTCGACCGCTAAGTTATCGGTGCGGTCAAACCAAACCGCATAAATTAATGGTTTGATACGGTTTAAACCGCACCGCATCTTGACCGCAATTCATTATGGTTTGTACATAATTAAGGAAGCTGCTGGTATTGTTTGATAACTGCAAATCATATGCTATTTACATGAGCATGCTTTCTGCGAGTACGCAGCACCCAGACTAGAAGTTTATGTACCCAAACTAGAATTCCTCGACTCCTCTGCCGCAGGATTCCTCTTTCAACGGGAATGGGTTCTGCAGCAGGAAGAGGGTTGTTCCCGATGGTGGATTCTGTGAGTCCCCAACTGAAACTAAGTTCCACAGATTAGCTCTCCATTAACATCTCATTATGAAAGACCATCATTTCCTGCTAGTTCATAGGGAGTAGGTCTCTGCTACTGCAACTATATATAATTTCCTACTAGTTCATAGGGAGTATATATATTAAAGCTGCTGCAACTATATATCCCATCAACTAAAACAAAATTGATCACGAAAGACCACCTTAGCAAACATTCAAGTTTGAAGATCAAGCCCACATAGTTCTGTGAAACCGAAGGCAACAACTCAGATACTTCAACTATGTATCCATCAACACTACAATTTGAACCTTACGAAACTAAGACATTATTCTGCTTGTGAAAAAGTCAACATCAAGGATCCAACATGGCTTGTCCAAAACTTCAGCAGCCATTCTGAATTGTAGTCTCCACATTCTTAGGGTCAAGTTCAGGAATCGATCCAAACAAAACAAGTACTTCAGCTTTGACGGCTTCCGTGTAGTTTCCATCAACCTGAAAGAACAGATTATCCATAAATAAAGATGAAAGAACTTGTGGTCCTGATACTAAAAGAGCAATAATGATAAGGTTCATATGCTACCTTTTGTGTTTGTGCTTGCCTCTACATTAGGACTCATACGAGGAGTATTGATATGAGGAAGTGGAACATCGGAGATGCCAATAGCCTTCATCACCATGCTCAACTCTGAAATTCATAAAAAGAGAGTTTAACTACGAGATAAAACGTATATGGTAAATAAACAGTAGCCTTTTCTAAGTTACTCACCTTCATCGATATTGTCAATCTCCTCTGAATCTTCTTCAACTAGACAAAGACTAGAGTCTGCTCGGAGCCAATCCTGAGTACAAATAAGAGCCTCAACAATCCTAGGAGTCAAAGAGCTCCTGAAATTATTCAGCACTCTACCTCCAGTGCTAAAAGCTGATTCGGATGAAACTGTAGAAATAGGGACAGCCAAGACATCCTTTGCCATCCGAGACAAAGTTGGAAACCTGTGACTGTTTACTTTCCACCATCCTAGCACATTAAACTTGGGATCCATTGATTTTTCAACTTCCTCCTTCAAATACCTATCCAACTCAGTTTTGTTCACTACACCTCTCTCTTTTTGCAATTGCTTCATATACTCGGCAACTAAATCCACATTCCCACCATCGTCATCTAATTCTGTTTGAGAGGAGGATGAACCTTCACCTACTTCCATTTGATTCTCATAATGAGCATATAACTCGTAAGTAGCAAGCTCAACGTCTTCTAACAAAGCAGAAACTGCTTTCTCATCATCATACATCCACTTCAGTGTGAAACCAATAAACTGCAACTTCAACCTTGGATCTAACACGGCAGCTATATATAATAACTTGTTCATCTTATCTACAGCTCCCCAATATTTATCATATTTTTGTTTCATCTTTGTTGCCATGAAGCTTAATTGGTAATCCTCCTTGTCTGGAATTACCCAATTCCTCAACAAACGGTATAAGTTCCCAACTGCAGGTAAGAATAAGTTGGAGGTGATATACTGTGAACCGGAAACTTTTAAGGTGAACTGATAAAACTGTTCCAAGAACTTCATCATTCTTCTAGCACTATCCCAATCGTAGCTATCAGGTACTCCACTCTTCATTTCAAGTTCAGGTATAAGCCGTCTTTCTTATACATCCTGAATTGGACCCAAACTTTTGATCTAAGCCGCCTCCCTTTTGGCATTGGTGACTCAATATCAGTCGAAGCTGAACCAATATGATCACTAGCAGCCACCTTGCTCGTACTTGCATCATTTTCGATTTCCATCTCTTCCCCACTTGAGGAATCCATTCCAGCATCATCACACTCGACCTAAACAACAACAGAGTAAATGAAAACAGGACATAAAAGCAACCAAACTAGAGCATATCTTACATGATTCAACAGAGTAAATGAAAACAGGACATAAAAGCAGAAAAGGAGAATGTTGGTTATTGATGCCTGACGGGTATGAGTATCCTGTTACATTTTTCCATGGAACATGTTGTTTCAATGAAGCTCACTCGATTGTTGGTCTGATGAGCCAAAGCAGTCGTCAATATGAAACAGAACAGAGACAGACTTAATAGAACTGAGCTCAAGCGTCAAAAGGACAGACTATATAGTTAGCTAGCTACATATTTATTCCCTTAATAAGCATCCTGCTGCTGCAGCAGCACTCCTTCAAGACGTGCTCTCATGGCTTCGGTGCTCGCGGTTTTATTGATGTAGAAGACCATATCGCCACTGAAAGCCGTTTTCTCAGAAATCCACTCTGGAAGTAGTTCAGCCAATTCAAGAAAATCTCAAGTTCATGTTCCTACAGCAATTCAAGACCACAGCAGGAGGCACCCACTAGGCAAACCTATTATACAGTGCTTAAGCTTGCAGGAAAAGACCCCATCTAAATCAAAATGTCTCCATCACAGTACTACCAAAACCACACTCAACAAGAAAAGACTAAAAAACTTTGGCTCTCTCTGCTGCAAAAACCTACTGCTTGGTTGGAACCATACACAAAAGTACAGATCAGTAGCTAACCATAGTAAAGGAACTCACATCGGAACTAAGCACATTGTTGATAGATATCGGTGCTTGAGCTCGTTTTCCCTTAGAGCCTTTTGATTTCATTTTTGCCGATAAAAGTATCTTCTTTTTCCCTACTACTTGATATCAAATTCACAGATTCATTACAGCCCTACAAGCATATGAAAGAAAATAGTTAGAACATTGTGATTGGTAAAACTATAAACCAAATGAAATAATAAAGCAATTCACAAATGAAATAAACATTTTCTGCTACTGATGTTTCCAGTATTTGTGAGTTTGTGAAGCAAAAACGACTTCCCAAAGTATTTGTACTACAGCTGTATAAGGTTATATAGCGGCCTGGAAAGTTCAGACCGGAACTAATGCTGCTGCCATGCAAATAAATGGGAACAACTGAACTAGAGAGATGCCATACTGATGATCAATGCGGCAAGTCAAATTTGATGCTATGATGGATCTCAAGTCTTCATCAGTCAACTCCTTCCTCGAGTAGCCAAATATTCCAACATCCTGAAAGAATGGAACAGTCATGATTGACGATGGAGAACATAGCAGCTGAATTTCAAACCAAAAAAGCATTGGACTTCGGACATTATTTGCCAAACATCATCACAATCAAGAATAGCTTATAATCAGGAATCCCAAACTGAATCTGAAAGCCAAACCTCGACTCATTTTCATGGTGAGATCCATCATTCCCAAACTGAATCTGACAGTACCCTTTCCCTTTCTGCTACCCATTTTTGCACTCTTTTAAACTAATTGCTCTGGCTGCCAACACACAGTTTTATGTTCCTGTTACCTATTTTTGTAGCTGAGTTAAATTCCAAACGACAAAATCAAGAATAAGCAACAATAATGGACCAAACATGCTAGCACTCTTGCCTGGTATCTAACCAAAATTGTATGCAACTTCCTTCTCTAACAGGTCACTTCGCACTTGCATTTGAATTGATACCAAAGACACCATTCAAGACGAATCAGGAGAAAAGAGTAAAGAGATTCTAGACTACCCTAGATCAACAACCCTAGATCCATACCCAATTACTCTAATAAACCCACCAAGCATACCTAATATCTAGTATCTATGCGTAGTATAAAACCCACGAAGGGGCAAAGGGCTCGGTGGGTGGTCGCCTCTTGGCGGAGGTGCGACGGTAACACAACGAGGAGAGCTAAGGTTGAGGGAGGGAGAGAGTACCAGCCGCTGAGAAACTGGACGTCCGGCTGCGCGAAGTCGGGGAGGCCTTCGATCCGCCAAAGCACCGTAGCTCCGACAGTAGGATAGATTGAGATGCCTCCGATCTAGAAAGCGTCGTCGCCGATACTGTGTAAACACAATAACTCCGAGAATAGGGTAGACCGAGATGCTGGAGAAGGTCGAAGGCGGAAGAACGGGTAGCGAGAGAATGGTCGGATCTGCCGCTGCCGCCGCCGTGAGGATAGCTCGCCGTGTGGTGACTGGTGAGAAGATGCGTATGGGTGATGGATCTGGATCTCCGCAAATCTGCTCGAGACGTGGTGATAGATTAGGAATTAGCAGTTTGCGGTTTTGAACCGCTATCGTGCGGTTTCGGTCAACCCAAACCGCTAACCGCTTATCGATTAAACCGCAAATGAAACCGCTAGCTTAATGGTGCGGTTTGGATTGACCGCACAAGCGGTTTGGAGCGGTTTGGAGCGGTTTGGTCAAACCAATGCCCACCCCTACTCAAGATCGACAAAAAGTTTATGTTGACACGAATAGGTGTGAAATTAATTTCGAAGTGGGTGAAAAAGTATTTCTCAAAGTGTCACCATGGAAAGGGGTGATGAGATTTCGTAAGGAAGGGAAGCTTACACCTCGATATATAGGACCATATAAAATCACAAAGAAAATTGGACCAGTGGCTTATAAGCTAGCATTGCCCCCAGAACTATCCCAAATCCACAATGTATTTCATGTGAGCATGCTGAAAAGGTACAAAGTGGATCCTTCACATGTTATACAACCAGAAGAGATCGAGTTGGGTCTAGATTTAACATTTGAAGAAGTCCCAATGCAGATTGTTGACCATCATATTAAGACTCTTCGTAGGAAGGAAATTCCAATGTTGAAGGTTGTGTGGAGGAATCAAGAAAGTGAGAGTGCTACCTAGGAGACTGAAGCAAGTATGCGAAAGAAATACCCTGAGCTAGTAGCGACCTACTTTACAGGTTAACAATTTTGCTTAGTAAGTTATGTTTTGAAACTTGTTGATGTGCTTTTATTGTGATAACCTGATATAGGTTTTTGAAACCTTATATTGGGAACTTGAGGTGTTATGTGTTTAGTTATGTAATTCAGATCTCCTAACCTAAGAGTAAGGTAGTAACAAGATAAGTGATAGTGTCTGCTAGGAGGAGAACGAGCAGATGCGTTGTATCAACTCCAGGTTAGATTTCGGGGACGAAAAATTTGTAAGGAGGGGAGAATTGTAACATCCCGTTTTGGCTAAAATCATATTACGGTCACTAGAAAATAACGCGATAAAAATCGAGTGTTTTGATAGTATTTTGACGATTGATAGTATTTTGACGAAAATCGGATTATCGATCGATCTGATAAGTAGACGTATTAGTTATATATATCTATGGTGCTTACTTCAGAGCACTCACAAAAGTGAGTGCGTTCAATGCATCCAACTCAAAAACTAGTCTTAAGGTGTCGTATTTTGAATTTTAATTTGTAGAATTATTGTAATATGATGATATAACATATGATAACAACTAATTAGCGGATTATCCTAAGCCCTAGACCTCCAATTTTGAGTTCTATCCCTAAACCCCTAACTGTAAACCCTAAACCTAACCCTAAATCTCTAATCTCTCTAAATCCTTCAAATTAAAGTAAATCTTGAATGGTTTTTGTGCAAATTCATGTGCTTTATTGTTCATCACATCATAAGTGATGATTGACATCATTTTGACATGAATCACATGTTTAAAATGACGGTTATGAAGTGAGTGCACTGAATGCACCCAAAAAAGTGAGTGCACTGAAGACGCCACCATGTATATATAACCTAGCGTACGCCCCATTCAGTTTTGCTATATAGATCATGAATTAACCGGAGTTTGGGGCATGATACTATACCCTAACCTCTAATGGGTGAACCCCAATCCCTAATTTTCTAACCCAAACCATGAGCTTCGTTTAATCTTAAAATGAAAATCAATGAAAATTTCGACGAATTAGAATCGTTGATTTCATTTTTAAGATTAACCGAATCACATGCTTTGGGTTAGTGAATTGGGGACTGGGTTTCACCCATTAGGGGTTAGGGTATAGTATCATGTCCCAAACTCCAATTAATTCTTTGTCTAAATAGCAAAACTCAATGGGGCGTACAGTAGGCTAGCGTACGCCTGAACGTACTATATATATATATATATATATATATATATATATATATATATATATATATATATGTGGATACGACTCGTATGCTCCATACGCATAGTTTGCTCCAAGCTTTTGCACCGTTGATCTAATCTAACGTCCATTATTAAATATTAGTTAATTTATTATTTATCAATAATTATTAGTACCCATAAATAATTATATAATCATTATAGTACTCCAACAATTTTAACATTATAATACCTTATTTCGTACGTATGTATTTTAAGTACCCGTATTAGTTAAAGTTTTGTCAATTTGAAACTGTTTTCCATGTTCTCAAAACACCATCACCACTTCCAAAGCCATGATTCAGTCTATCTGATGGTACTCCATAATTCACCCTTATCCAGCAAGCTCGAACATCAAGGAGAATGAATGAAGAGTCGGAGTTGCTCAAAACCATCTCCTAAGTAATTTCTTTGATCCCGAGATTGAAACCACTTCTACTCTTCTAGATTGTTCAATTTCGTTTCATACAGTCTGGTAATTTCATTTTATACTGTCTG